TATCCACTTGGACCGCCTCGTCTCTCTGAGTTCCTGGTTAAGAGAACTGGGAAAATAGCTTTCATAAGCAAGGAAAATAGGTATGAAAAGTAACTAAAAGAAAATGAAGAACTGAAAAGTAACCAAAGGAAACTAGAGTTATGAAAAGTAACTAAAGGGAACTGTTGTCTGCGGTTCTTTTTACCATGCTAACTCTGAGAGACGAAGCAGTCCAAGTAACTTCAAAAGAGTGCTGATTTATTCAATGAACACAGGTAAAAATTAACATTGCACGCTCAGGTATCTTGGACCTCCAACATGCACGCAGGCAGCTGAAAGATGAAAGACCCCGAACCACAACAGGCCTATACATTATATCACTTCGGGCTAACCCCGTACTACCGAGAGAGATGCCAAACCGCGACGTCTCCCAGGGACAGCTTTGCAGCTGGCCATAGCAGTAGACAAAGCATGAGGAAAATCAATGTGTGAATGTCTGTTGATTATGTGGTGTGTAGCTAAAAACATTCTAACACGACCTCTAGTGACATATCCTAACATTAAACATAAGAAAATATTATGGCTATAGCTACAGTTATACACGTCATAATAATAATATTAAACATCCTGTCTTCTAACAGTCATCAACTTTCTATCTAGTTATCCTTGACCAGATGCAACCTGCTGCAACTCATGAGAATGCCTAAGCATTTAACAGTCGGAGCTAGACACCCTGTCTACTCTAAACATTTCTAATACATCAAGTATCTAACCAATATCTATCTGACTAAAAATACCTAACAGAACTAAATGTATGAGAAGTAACTAAAACTTATAAAGTAACTAGAGCTTATAAGAATCAAATCTTAGACTGCCCAACACTGTTGCCCACTGTTTGGTAATGATGCTTGGGCAAAGAGGTTTCACAAGATTTTGCACTTACCTACATACAGTATGTCTATTAGAAGTTGTTACACAAGAAAAACAAAGTAATGTATTTACTATAGACTCTGCATTGGAGATTTGAAATTTAAAAACACCTTTATCCACATATCTTTTGTTGTCACCAAGCGGCAACCTCCGAGGCTGAGAAATGAAGCCAATGCATGAGTGTGAAAACCTGCAGTTCCCCAAATGGCCACTTGAGGCTAGCTCCAAAAGGGAGTCAGTCCCCACAGACTCCCATGTGAAAATGCCCAACAAAAAAGGTTTCGTCTCTTCAGCTAACTTCCCCTACAATGACAACAGTATGGGGGCTGATTTTTAAAACTGACTTAAAATTATGCATAATTAAGGGTGTGTTCACTTTCATTGACAGGCAGGAGGGTGCTGCCACAGGTGGTTAGCTGCTGGCTGTCTAGAGAACTCGAATCACACTTCGCCTCCTTTTGGAATAGCAGGCGGAGTGAAGTACCAGCAAGATGGCAACAGCAGACTTGAGCTTCAAAAGCTCTCTTCAGAAAACCACTGATTGACATCACAGAGGGTTTGTCCATCTTTTATATGAACTCATTGGTTGTCACCCACAGTTAGATTTTGAGTCAGAAGGAGAAGAACTATCTAACAATCCAAAAAAGGACAAAAGAGAGTTCAGTTGAAAAAAGCAACATACAACATGGAGATGTGTTGTGATTCTATTTCGTGTAGGCTTAGCCCTCTAAGAGCTGTTGCTATTGGGTTTATCCCTCACGCATGTGCAGTCATGAAGAAATATTTTCATGCCTTGTGCCCTGCATTGGGCTGTCCCCAAACAGGCCCGCTGTGGTGGCATAAATGCCAATGTGACCTGTGATCAGCTCCCCCTTTTTCTTCAAGCAGTCGAAAGAACATGGCTAAAGAGCAAAGCTCCACCAGCACCGGACTCCAGCACCGGACTCCAGCACCGCACCGTGATCACTGTGTGTCCGGGTTGTGACACTGTCTTCATTATGCCCACTGATCTGCACCCCCGCTGTGAGGCCTGCCTTGGTGCTGAACACGCTGAGCTGGCTCTCTCCACTCAGCCCGCATGACCCTTCTGTGCTTAACTGTCTGTGGCGGGAAAACATTGACTCGCTTCCTTCCATTGCCAGCTCCCTCCAGTTCTCCCCTCGATCCTCTGGTTGACATGGGCACAGGTGGAGATGAGCTTCCTCCAGCCAAGCAGCACGTTCAGCTGGAGGAAGCTTTCATGTCTTCTGCAGGGCTCTGCTTCATGACCTGCCAGAGATCATCAAAAAGGCGGCAGACTGTAAGGACATCCCTCTCTTGCTCTCTGCCCCCATATCCCCCTCCTTCAAATATGATAGGGGATTTCTACAAGTCAGAGCAGCAGAGCAAGCATTCCCCCATCTAGCCCAAGTTTCCTGCCATCCGGCCTTTCTTTTCTAAAGCAGCTGAGCAAACTGGGAACCTACAGGCACCGGTTGCCTGCTTTGAGCTAGTCCAGATGATGACTGCCCTTGGCTTCCCCGCCGTCCCACTGCTGGAAACGAGCATCTCCTCCATCCTGCTCCCCAAGGCGGTGCTTTTTGGCAGACAACAACTGACTCCTCCACTTCCTCATGACCAGGTCACTGCCCACCTCACGGCCCAGATTCACCAATGTGCCTCCCAGGCTGGAGCGGCGATCAACAACATTGCTCTCCTCTCCACATCAATTTCCCCTCTTGCTGCCCAGCCCAGGGCTCTCCCAACAGAGGCAGTGGTGATACTGTCTTCTGCTGCAGCCATGGCTACAGGTCACAGGAGCACCGCTGCAAACAACGGTAGCAATGATGGGACACTGGAAACATTTTCAGGGCCACCGCAAGATTCATAAAGAGTCATTTTCTGACAGTTGTTTCTCCTCTCTCTCTGGGTGTTCACTGTCTTCACACACACGTTTCCCCACTGCATAGCCGTTCTCCCCTCGCACACTCTGTGCCCTTGGACGCACTTAACATAAATGTTTCTTCACAGCAAAGCTCTGTTGGTTCTCCTAATGCAGTTCTCCCCACAGCAGATGATTTAACAACACTGCCCTAGTCCCACCCACCTACCTGTTTGTGCATGTGTGTGAGTGGTGGCTTTTCCCCCACACAAAAGGTGAACTACAAAGCTAAACACGGGGTGCACACTTCTCCTCAGCCCTTTTATCATCACCATCCCATGGTTTGTGCAGAGCAAACACTCATCTCTTGCAACTGCAGAGAGGGCACATCTACGGCTAATAGCGATGTATGCAAATGCACCACAAACGAATGCTCGTCTGCTGACAGAGCGTTACTCGGTGTGGCGTGAACAGTTGTCCATGAACGATTGGATGGACAAGCTGATTCGAACTCCCTACACTCTGCAATTCCCCAAGCACCCCCTGCTTTCGGTGGCATGCTAGAGACAGCACTAGTAGACTCCGCTGCACAGTGGAGTCGCAGGTGCTGCTAAACAAAGCAGTGACGTCCATGGTGCCGTCCAGGCAAGAGTGCGAGGGGTTTTACTTGCACTACTTCCTGGTTCCCAAAACCTTGGGCGAGACGAGACCTATTCTTGATCTTTCTCTCTTCAACAAATATATAGTGCAGAGACTGTTTCACATGCTCACCACAAAGTAAGTACTGGAGTGTGTGCATCCTGGTGATTGGTTTACATCAGCTTGAGAGACGCTTATTTTCATGTCCCTATTATCCCCAAACACATTGTGTTTCTCCTTCCAAGGTGCACATCTTTAGTACAACAGGCTGCCCTTTGGTTATTCTTTGGCCCCCCACACCTTCTCCAAGTGCATGGAGATGGCGTTAATACTGCTGTGGAGAGTGGGAATCAGAGTCCTCTTTTATTTAGAAGACCTGATTCTGATGACATTTTCCAGACATCAAGTGGAGTTTCACAAAGTGGTGCTGGTGCAACACCTGACACAGCTGGGTTTTGCAGTAAACTGGGAGAAGAGCTCATCGGTGCCATGCCAAACATTCACTTATCTGGGAGTGCACCTGGACTCTCTCAGCATGAGAGCAAAGCTGTCATCTGACATGCAGGAGGTGCTTTCATGTCTTCTGCAGCCCATTGTCCCTCTCACAAAGGTAACAGCTCTCTGTCTGTCATGTGTTTACTGGGCACAGTATCAGTCAGTCATGTCATGGTTCCCTTTGGTCTTCTTCACATGAGGTAGCTCCTGTCACAGGTGGTGGGAAGACAGTGGAATCACACCCTATCTCTCCACGTCAACTGTCTGGAACTGGCCACAGTTGTAAAAGTTCTGAAACATTTTGCACTGATACTGAGAGGCAAACAAGTAGTGGTGTGATCAGACAATGCAACGGCCACTGCATACATCAACCCACAAGGCAGTGTTTGTTCTGCCCAGCTGCTGGAGATTGCATGAAATCTCCTGCTCTAAGCTCATCAGAACCTGCTCTTCCTCAGAACCATACACGTCCCCAGCAAGCAGGACCGTGCCACGAATCTCATGTCATGAGGTGAACCTCAACCAAGTGAGTGGAGGGTGAATCCGTCCCTCGTTCAGACATTGTGGGGCAGGTTTGGTCAAGCTGTGGCAGACGTGTTCGCAGCACATGGGAACATGCAGTGCAGTCTCTTGTTCTCAATGAACAGCAGAGATGAACCTCAACTAATGGTAGATGCCTTTTCTCACCAACCCTCACCCAGTGGTCTCCTTTACGCGTTCCCTCCTATCCCACTAATCCCACGACTCCTCTCACGCATTCAGGATGAACGATTACCCATCCTCCTGATAGCTCCGGAGTGCATGGGTGCAGCTTGGTTTCCGAACCTGGTTCAGCTGTTGGTGGGCAATCCCTGGCAGTTGCCGTGGCACGAGGATTCGCTGTCTCAGCTGGATGGCATGATCCAGCAGTTCCAGGGGAGGTCACGCCTTTGCCGTGCATGGCCCCAGGTTGTGGAACTCCCTGCCTTTAGACATTCGCTCTATAACTGAGCTGGCAGCGTTTAAGTCAGCGTTAAAAACACATCTTTTTAAACAAGCTTTGAATGTTTAGCGTGATCACTGAATTTTGTCAACTTTAATAATTTATTTTTTAATTACTTTTAATATGTTAGTGTGTGTCTTGGTCCTCTGGACCACCACAGTTGAACTCCCGTGGGGAGTGCCGGCCAGGCAGGAGCTGGCCTATATCAGTCCTTGGATATTTATTTGGCTTCTTGTTTGTTTATGAGTGTTTCTAACCAATGTTGTATTACTATGTTTCTACTGTTGTAGCACTTTGTGCTCTTGAGCTGAAAAGTGCGGTACAAATAAAGTTTATTATTATTATTATTATTATTATTCCCCATGATAGGACAGTGGCTGTGGGCCTGGCCCCTGAACAGGGGCAACTGGAGAGCCTAGGTCTGCCTCCAGCGGTCGTACACACAATTCAGTGGACAAGAGCTCCATCAACAACAGCATATTATGCAGCAAAATGGTCTGTTTTTCAATGATGGTGTATGGAAAGTGGCACAGCTCCCACTGTTTGCCCACTGGCTCAAGTGTTAATTTTTCTACAGACTCTAGTAGACAGAAACCTGGCCCTGTCTACTGTGAAAGCTTATGCCGCTGCCATCTTGTTGTGCCATGAAGGTTTTGATGAGAGAACTGTGTTTGCACACCCGCTGGTAAAATGTTTTCTAAGGGTTGTAGGCAGACAAAGGCCTGTAATGCATTCAGTGGCACCGCAGTGGAACTTACCTCTGGTTTTACGTGTGCTCAGGGAACCTCCCTTTGAGCCCATAACACAAATCTCTCTTAAACATCTCTCTCTGAAAACAACGTCTCTCTTAGCCCTGACTTTGGCTAAGTGGATGGGCGAGCTGTGTGCACTGTCTGTCTCACCGGCATGCCTTCTTATTCGTGAAGACGGCAGCTCAGCCATTCTGAGGCCAAATCCTGCTTATGCACCAAAAATAATAATATCCTCTTCTTCTCCAGAGTCATTTCCCTGGATGGGGTTTTTCCTCTGACCCCCAGAGATGAGTCAGAGAAAGAACTCCATGTCTTCTGCCCGGTGTGCGCACTGTGTTATTACATAGTTTGCACAGCAGCTGTCAGGCAAATACAACAGCTGTTTTTACATTACAAGAAACACTCTCTTGGGCAACCTTTAACCAAACAGTGGCTGGCTTACTGGTTGTGTGAGGGTATCACAAATGGCTTACATGTCAGGTGGGAGTGATCCTCCACCTGACATCAGATCCCACTCCACGAGAGCGATTACATCCTTCACTGCCCTCTTCAAAGGTATGGCCATAGAGGATATTTGCGCAGCAGCCCCCTCGGTTTCTCCATGTCTTTTTACCCTTCTCTAACATCGGGACACGTCCACGTTTTCACTGGCACACTCGGTCCTGAGTGTCCATTGTGACCGGGGGGCTCCCCCCATCATGGAACACGAGTGTACAACCGCCACTGAGCACTGATTCTACATGTGTGTTATTCGCTCGGGTGATTAGTTGTCAGCCATGTACTCTCGCTTGACTGTAATGCCAACAATGCAAGCTGTTGTTGTGTGTGCCCTTACCACACACACACACACACACACACACACACACACACACACACACACACACACTCTCTATGCACTCTCCATGGTACTCATCTTCTCTTTTACCAGTCCCACCCGCCTGATTATGGTTATGTTTAATGTTTTCTCCATTCGTAATATTACTATTACTACTGTGAGACAACAGCCGTGTAATACGAGCATCTGATTATTTCTGTGTTGCTAGCACCTGCATGCTCTTGCAATTCAACTGTTATCTGGGCATTTGTCAGGCACACACTCTCCCTGTGCACTCTTGCACTTCTCCTCCCCTGTAAAACAGAATGGCAACTCTGCCTTCTCACAGTGGCAGTCAGGTGTTACATGGGCATAATGCAGGAGAGAGGGTGTTGTTTTTGGGCTGCTATTATGGGGTATATTGGCAAACTCAGGTGTTGTTTTTAATGCTCTTGGGCAGCGGTGTGCCAACAAGGCATAGACTACATCCAGCTGCGCTTTTATCCCAATAGCGACAGCTGTTAGAGGGCAAAGCCTACATGAAATAGAACTATGGTTACATTAGTAACCCAAGCTTCTATGTATAGGCTAAG